CAGGCTTAAGCCATGTTTCAGTCAGGCCAATCACATCAAGATTATGATCAGTGATTAGTTCATTGACTATGACTGCCTTTGAAGTGAGGGATCTAACATTAAGTAACCCTATTTTGAGATGTGAGGTATCACGATCTCTTTCAATAATGGCAGGAATGGAGGAGGTCTTTATCCTAATAAGATTGCTAGGGTGAACACCACCATGTTTAGTTTTGCCCAACCTAGGTCGAGGCACAGACACAGTCTCAATGGGTATGGCTGAGCTGACTACACTGACTATGCTATTGGCAGACTCCACTAAGCTGGCAGGTTGGCTAACAGCCTGCTGCCTGGCCTGCACCCTATTTCACTGTGGGGCTAAAGGAGTTAGAGCCCTATCTATGTTGGTAGATAAGAGGAGAGCACCCCTCCAGCTAGGATGGAGTCCGTCACTCCTCAGCAGGTCAGGCTTGATCCTGTTTGTGGGTGAGTCCCAGAAAGAGGGCCAATTATCCACAAATGTTATCTTTTGGGAGGGGCAGAAAACAGTTTTCAACCAGCGATTAAGTGCTGAGACTCTGCTGTAGAGCTCGTCACTTCCCCTAACTGGGAGGGGGCCAGAGACAATTACTCGATGCCGACACATCTTTCTAGCTGATTTACACGCTGAAGCTATGTTGCACTTGGTGACCTCTGACTGTTTCATCCTAACATCGTTGGTGCCGACGTGGATAACAATATCTCTATACTCTCTACACTCGCCAGTTTTAGCTTTAGCCAGCACCATCTTTAGATTAGCCTTAACGTCGGTAGCCCTGCCCCCTGGTAAACAGTGTATGATCGCTGGGTGATTCGTTTTAAGTCTAATACTGCGGGTAATGGAGTCGCCAATGACTAGGGTTTTCAATTTGTCAGAGCTAATGGTGGGAGCCTTCGGCGTCTCAGACCCCGTAACGGGAGGAGTAGAGACTAGAGAAGACTCAGACTCAGACTCCGACTCGCTACATAATGGGGAAAAACCGGTTGAAGGTTTCTGTCGGCTGAATGAGCGACACCGGTTGAGCATTCCAACAGTATTTCCCTCCAGAAGCCATGAGAAAGTTGTCCGGCTGCAGGGACTGTGCGGGGGGAGTTATACTAACGTTACTGTCTGTACTTACTGGTGGCACAGACGCTGTTTCTTCCTTTCCTACACTGATAATACTCTTGCCTAACGATTGCGTCTGAAGCTGGGCTTGTAGCACAGCTATTCTCGCCGTAAGGCGAGAATTCTCCTGTATATTATGAGTACAGCGACTGCAATTAAAAGACATCATGTTAATGTTACTACTTAGCTTCGGCTGTTGAAGATGTTGATGAGCCATGTCCAGATAAAGCGTCCGGAGTGAAAAAGTTGAATAAGGGAAAAAAGTTGCGATGGAAAAACGGAAAATAACGTAAAGTTGGCAGCTAAAACGCACAGGAAAATGACTCTTCTGTCTCGGGATAAACGTCCGGGGTGAAAAAGTTTAACGAAAAAAGATGAGTGAGGACAGAACTAAAAAGTTGGTAAATTTGTTGAACACAGAGATTGATTAAACGTTTATTAAAAGTAAAACGTGAAATAGTTTGGCAGGTAGCCAAGTAGCATAGTGCCAACTGAATGCATAGTGCCAACTGAATGCATAGTGCCAACTGTAAAGTTTGGTGGAGAAGGAATAATGGTCTGGGGCTGTTTTTCATGGTTCGGGCTAGGCCCCTTAGTTCCAGTGAAGAGAAATCTTAACACTACAGCATACAATGACATTGTAGACGATTCTGTGCTTCCAACTTTGTGGCAACAGTTTGGGGAAGGCCCTTTCCTGTTTCAGCATGACAATGCCCCCGTGCACAAAGCGAGGTCCATACAGAAATGGTTTGTCGAGATCGTTGTGGAAGAACTTGACTGGCCTGCACAGAGCCCTGACCTCAACCCCATCGAACGCCTTTGGGATGAATTGGAATGCCGACTGCGGGCCAGGCCTAATCGCCCAACATCATTGCCCGACCTCACTAATGCTCTTGTGGCTGAATGGAAGCAAGTCCCTGCAGCAATGTTCCAACATCTAGTGTAAAGCTTTCCCAGAAGAGTGGAGGCTGCTATAGCAGAAAAGGGGGACAAACTCCATATTAATGCCCATGATTTTGGAATGAGATGGTCGACGAGCAGGTGTCCACATACACTACATGACCAAAAGTATCTTCAAAGTCTGTTGAAAGTCTAAAGACAAGTCAAACGCATTATTTGCTGAAGTATGCATGTCACGTAGTGAGAAGGAAAACGTTTGCCGAAAATGATCACGGGTGATTTAACTGTAGAATGGACTAATCTCTCAGAATCAATGAAAATATCCTAGTAGACAATGTCCATTAAATATTAGGTAGTATTATGCGGGGCCATGGGTCCAAGGGGCGAAGTGAAAGGCCCACATTGCAAGCCCAATTTCGCAATAATAAACACATTTCGGTGATGGCGATTCTTTGGCCTGTATTTTCGTGATATTGCTCTAATGGCAAGTAGTTTTTGTCTCTGAAGTTTCAGATTGCTGTTCAAAGGACCTTGCTTTCTCTGGCAACATCTTGGCTTTTTCACCGACACCCGATAGCAAGGACTGAATGTTTCGTGGTTCTTTTTAACAGTCATTGCATCAAAACACATAGTTACCAAATGTCCGTTTTTTTATATCCCTGGAAAAAAAAGTTAGCTATGTTTAGGATGGTCCTTTCTGTCAAATGGCTAGCTAATCCTTGTTGAAATAAGTATTGCTAACCGAATTGACAACTATAGAACATGTTTTTGTTAAAATGTTTTCGTTTTGTTGAAAAGATACGCATATCCTCGAATTATGCAAGAAAAAACACTTTCGTAAAAACTAGCTTGTTCTCAAACAACGAAGAGGCGATGTGTCAACTTTCACCTGCTGCAGAATTTATGAACAAATATTTGGATCCAGGTGCGTTGTTTTTGTACCCCATGTTATGACACACGAAACAACCAATCATATTCGTTGGAATATATGACACTCCTCAAATTCCACCAGAGATCGTCCATAACGTCGAAGTATATTTATTTACTGACAAGATACTTGTCTCTCCGTCCTAACAATGGGAGTCGTTGTCCACAAAGCGGCACGTGTCAAGCTCCCGCCTATTCCTCTCTTTGGATTGGTGGATACATCTCTTTATTTGAAACATGTTTTAATATTCGATAAGGGTTGTTGACGTCAGCCTGTATTCAATGGAGATATGCTATTGCCGCCTTCACGTGATAGTCGGAACTAGGAAACTCGAAAATGTCAGACTTGCTAACTCATTGTAGTTCTAGTCAACAACACCACACTTATACACGTTCCGCGTTCAACCAGTTAGCATTTCGGAAATGTCTGAGTTTCCTCGTTCCGACTAGCACGTGAACGCGGCATAGGCTAGTAGCCTCATGTCATGAATATGCAGTCATCTCGGGACAACTCCGATAGTGTTTTTTCCGTGTTTTTTGCCTGGATGTCACGTGTCCTACTTATATCAGTACACTCATATCAATCTAAGCATTACGAAACATATATTCGATCAAATAAACCTCACGTAGCAAATAAGCCATACACATTTTTGTTGACCAAATTCGACTCTCTCATTGACCTCCATACAAAAACTCCTCGAGCGAAAGAAACGAAACAGCGCCTGCTGGAGACAGATTTTTGGCCGAGTTGAACCTCTCGCTTTGCCTCTTCCTCACTGAACGTGAACAACACTGAGGGGATTCTATTAAACTGACCGAGGGTGCACTGGACTATGGCCTATCACGTGACCGGGCGAACCCGGTGAGGCAGGCGCGCCATTCTTCTTTGGAGTTTAACGGCGGTTGGCATCCAATATGTTACATTACCGCCCCCAACTGGACTATAATATAAATCCATGATGCTTTGTAATACGAAATGGGAAAAATAAAAAATAAAAACACCCTTCACTCATTAAAAACCCACTACCCCATTCCACTACTTTGACCCTATCAACTCCTGCACCATGCCAACTGCCTGGGAGGACTGGACACCACCACTCTACACACCCTGTAACTCTTCTGAAGTCAAATCTCGTATACCAAAATACTTCTCTGCAGCTGCCACCAAAACCTATATTTTCTGTGATTTACGTTCCATTTCTGCAGTACAGTTGATAACCATTGCTATGAACACTAAGAAGCCAACCTTACTTAAGTTAAAATGCCCGAGAAGCCAGTGTTTGGAGGATATATTGGCACGGGTGTTGTTAGGGCCGAAACGAAGTCGAGGGCTGGCAAACTTTGCCAACATATCCTCTAAAACGGCGGCTTCGAGGGCATTATCACTTTTATACAACGGGTTACCAACATATTCAAATAATGGTTTCCATATTTTCATTAAAATGTTATTCATACTATACTCATCATTCAACAAGATATAGTCCCGACACAAATATAGGGTTGCTACCCAAACCGGCTGGTCGTTAGTTCTATCGGTTCGGTTGTCAGAAACGCGACCTAGTCCTTAAGTGTTTTTGTTCTGTATCTATGGACTCGACCCAGTCGTTCGTTCTAAATGTTCTATTGCCATTCAGGCTGGCAACGTTCTTATCCCTTGGTTGCTAGTTAGCCAACTACGGCTAACTTACAGTCACGTCAAACAGCGCAGCTAGAATAGCACCACTCGCCTCAGTTATGTTGTCAACAAGGTAACATGATCCATCTTTCAGAAACACACATCTCTTTTCCATAAAATATCGTTCGAATTTTCAAACTAGTTTTCATTGGGAAGGCAGATTGCTTTTGATAAAAACTATCACTTTTGCACATGAAAACACAGAATCCTACTCATTACTCCACTTTTGTTTTGAGCCGACATCACCGTCGGCCAGAACCGGGCAGCCGGCTCATGCCCGGGAGGCAGCCCGCTTCCAAAACGAATGCAATCATTTTCCACGCGTTTCAAACTACGCCTGCCCGGGCCAGATTAATAGAATCCCCCTCACTAGCCAGCTTGTTAAATAGAAGAAAAACTGCATCACATCTCGTTAAAAAAAACGTCAGTGTTGCACATTGCAACCGGTTCCATTTGGTACCAACTCGAAATATCTCTAACACATGGACGAATTTACTGCGAGATGAATGGAGGAAATTGTTTTCATTGTTATTCTGTTAGTGGGTTGGGTTATCTGAGCTAGCTGCTTGCTACCAAAACGTTAGCGCCACTATCGCCTGCATAGGCTACGAAAACGTTAGCTGCTAGCTAAACAACAAATCAAGCGCTGGCAAATCCACAATTATTTGTTGAAACAAACTGCTCCTTACATTTGAGAAATAAACAACTTCCGAAGAGAAAAATACTATCAAACTCAACGAGATGGTGGATGCAGGATGGCTACAACTACCTACCTACTCAACTATTAATAGTTAGCCCCCAGGATGGAAAGCTTGTGCATGAGCACGCTTCCTTCCTGTAAGCGTTCACTTCTCCATTCTCTAGCTGGCGCAAATGGTGGACCCAACGCCTGTCACGGATAGCTCTTTTAAAAGTGAGTAGCTCATGTTATTAGCTTCCCTCGTCTCGTTTAGTTAGCTGGCAGAAGGTCAATTGTAACGTGTGCAACTGCAGGTTGTTTTGCTAGTGAAGTCATTTATTACATGGGTTGTTTTTATCAGCTGTGCGTCTATCCGTTGTAGAGATCTGTAGCTTGGTGTTTACCAAGCTATAGACAATGTGTTTACAATACAGTGTTTTGTTTACAGTGACTGAAAAGGACGTCAAGAGGTTAATAGAATTGTGTTCCACCAATGAGGCTCTTTTCACAGGAAATATAAACGCTGCCAAGGTTGCCTGGAAGTATGTGAGGGTTTTTGTATGACATTTAGTATACCACAACCAGGTTTATATCTAACGGTTTATATCTTTAACGGTGCAGTGCAATTCTAAGGGGATTGGGTCTTGATGGAAAGCTGACAGCTGACCAGATTGCCGAAAGTGGGAAAATCTGAAGACTAGAGACAAGTTAGTGGGCTTGTGTTCTTGGAAGACTGAGGTTTGGGACTTCTAAAATAAATATTTACTGATCATTAAGTCAAAACAAAAAATCCTCATCCCAGCCATAGTCCCACTTTTGTATTTGTCTTTTAGGATTTAAAATACAATTTTTTTGCCAAGGACACTGTTGCTACCAGCATAGCCTCCTGGCCCTGGTTCCAATTTATGGACGAGGCCATGGAAGGACGCCTCTTCAACAGCGCCAACGTTTTGGCGGTGGAATCTTTGGGTGGTGAGGCTCCAAGTTCTCCCTCACCATTAACCAACGAGAGAGGACAGGGGGGCGACGGTGCTGACATTTTGGAGTTCTTGATCAAAACTGAGATGGAGGACAGTGCGGGGACAGAGAACTTGGAGGACAATGCAACTTTTAACACTGATGTAACTCAGACCGAGGGCCCTACTACAATGGGCTGGCGAAGAATGTCAGAATGCTCATATAAAAGTAAGTGAGTTGAGCATACTGTGATTCTGTTGACCGTTCCAATGATTTCTTCAACCTTAATTTGACCAGGAGGTCTGTTTAGTCCAGGGCTCTCCAACACTGTACCTGGAGAGCTACCTTCCTGTAGGTTTTCAATCCAACCCCAGTTGTAACTAACCTGATTCAGTTGATCAACCAGCTAATTATTAGAATCAGGTGCGGTAGATTAGGATGGATTGGAACAAAAACCTACAGGACAGTAGTTCTCCAGGAAAGGGTTGGAGAGCCCTGGTCTAGACTTTAATTGTAGTTATTGGTTGTTAGCAAGCTTGCTGCAAAAATGGTGTGTTATTTGATACATGGTAATATATGCTCAATCTGATGTACCTGATTCATATTACTGACTTTGGTTCCTTCTTAACAGTGACAGAGCAGGAGACGGAGAGAATGATAAAGCTGCGTGCCGTGAATGAGGCTCTCTTCACAGGCAGAAAACATACTGCCAAGCCTGCCTGGAGGTGAGTATGTCTGGGAAGGACAGATACAGACCATATTTTGGCCCAGCACATCCTGTGATTATCTGTCCCAAATCCACCTCTAGCTCCTTTGGACTTATGTATGTTCAAAAGGACTGGATAGGTGTAAACAATATGGTGATAAGTCTGTCTAGCTAGACTTGGAGCTATTACTATAATGCTTATACCTATTTGATAATTTCCGATTTCGTTAAGTGCCCTAAATGAGAATTTGTTTGCAAATTGTTGTCAACATTTTTATTTGTCTCTCACAGGAGGCTGCTGAGAGGAGGACCGCCCATAATAATGGCTGGAATGGAATGAATGGTATCAAATACATGGAAACCATGTATTTGATGAGTTTGATTACCATTCATTTCGTTCCAGCCATTACTATAAATAAATAAATAAATAAATAAATAGGTCATTTAGCAGACGCTCTTATCCAGAGCGACTTACAGGAGCAATTAGGGTTAAGTGCCTTGCTCAAGTGCACATCGACAGATTTTTCACCTAGTCAGCTCGGGGATTAGAACCAGCGACCTTTCGGTTACTGGCACAACGCTCTTAACCACTAAGCTACCTGCCGCCCTACTATGAGCCCGTCCTCCCCAATTAAGGTGCCACCAACCTCCTGTGTTGTCTCTCCATATTTTCCTGCAGAGCTATTTTGAATGAGTTGGGCCTTCAGGGAAAGCTGACTACTGACCAGCTAGCCAAAAAGTGGGATAACCTCAAGAGGCGATATAAGGTAATGTGAGAGGGTGACGGCAGTACTCAACTAGCGTATTTGTGTGTTTCATTTTCATTAGTGATTTTTTATGTGTAGGGTATAAGAAACATTCCCTAAGTTTTTTGATGTTATTCTTGATCCACAATGTATCTCTCTCTCATCACCTGCTCACATCTCCTCTTAATTCCACTCCACACTTTTGTCCACTGAACCCAGACACTGTGTTCCTCTTTTGGTGCAGGAGTTGAAATGTCCAGCCCGCAGCATGGAGAGCAACCCAAATTCCTGGCCCTGGTTCTACCGCATGAATGATGCCATGGAGGGACGATTCGCCGGCTGCGCCCCCATCCTGACGCCAGTAGTAGAGGAGGGTGATGAGGAGTTTGAGCCCTCTCCACTACCAAGGAAGAGGGCTCGTCGGACGCCAGGGAGGGGGGGGATGTCGGAGTTCTTGACAGAGTCGGAAATGGATGAGCTGGAGGAAACGGAGGAGAGGAATGGAGCAGCCATCTTCCCAGGGGCCACCATAGGGGAGTATCACACGGCCACAGAATTCTCATATAAGCGTAAGTGATGATGTTTTGCCTTTCAAAGGGACGATTTGCTCAAAATGCAAATCAATATGATTTTCCACTTTCTTGGGTTGGTATTGGTCGACCCAGACAGTTTTTAAAGTGCATGCTTGAGTTATTTAGTAACGTTCACCATCTTGTGACCCTAAGTCTTTGGAGTTATTGGCAAAATGCTAACTAGCAATAAGTTACTTCAATAACACTTCTTTGTGAAGAATATCGCTAGTTGTTATATTTGCTTGTATTACAGTGACTGAGGAGGACACCAAGAGATTGATAGAGCTGCGTGCTTCCAATGAGGCTCTTTTCACAGGGAAGAGAAATACTGCCAAGCCTGCCTGGAGGTGAGTTAGCTTGTGTTGGAAAAAACTAGTTGGCTAAATAAAAATCTGATATTTACAGTCAATGTACTCTGTTTTTTTTGTACTTCCATTATTTCTCTGTAGGGCAATAGTAAAAGAGATGGGCCTTGCAGGAAAGTTGTCTGCTGACCAGGTCGCCAAAAAGTGGGACAACCTGAAGACAAAATTCAAGGTATTGTAACTAGTGTGTGTCCATGTACATTTTGTCCATGCTTTTTCTCAACCTGTTTATCAGGGCCTATGTGTGTACTTGCACATGCACACTGAGTGTACAAAACATTAGTAACACTTATATCCTAATATTGAGTTGCACCCCCTTTTGGCCTCAGAACAGTCTCAATTCATCACGGCATGGACTCTACAAGGTGTCAAAAGTGTTCCACAGGGATGCTGCCCCATGTTGACTCCAATGCTTCCCATAGTTGTGTCAAGTTGTCTGGATGTCCTTTTGGTGGTGGACCATTCTTGATACATATGGGAAACTGTTGAGTGTGAAAAACCCAGTGGCGTTGCAGTTCTTGACACACTCAAACCGGTGCGCCTGGCACCTACAACCATACCCTGTTCAAAGGCACTTAAATATTTTGTTTTGCGCATTCACCCTTTGAATGGCACACATACACAATCCATGTCTCAAAGCTTAAAAATCATTATTTAACATGTCTCCTCCCCTTCATCTACACTGATTGAAGTGAATTAAACAGGTGACATCAATAAGGCATCATAGCTTTCACCTGGTCAGTCTTATGGAAAGAGGTGTCCCTAATGTTTTGTACAGTCAGTGTATGTGTACATGCATGCTCATATGTGGGACCGGAGGATGGGTAGGTCACACTAAGTGATATGTCCTAATAAGTTTATATCTTCTCTTATCCCTTAGGACTTGAAGTACCCGCCACGTGGCATGGAGAACCAGAGCACCCCTGCCTCCTGGCCTTGGTTCCAACTCATGAACGATGCCTTCGAGGGCAGACTGGCTGCGAGAGCCCCCAAAATAACTCCCATATGGATGAGCGAGGAAGACTACTTATTTGTATCCTCACCGATGCCTACAGAGAGAGACCTGTGTCCCATGCCAGAAAGGAGTGGGATTTCTGAGCTGGGAATGGGACCAGGGGACACAGAGGTGGATGGAACGGTTACGTTCTTAGACGCCAGTATAGAGGCGTGCCCCACACCTTTGGAATTCTCCTATAAAAGTCAGTGTCATTCCTTCATTCTTCATGTCTCAGAATGTACTTTTTAAGGAGGATAAAATATACTTTTAAAAGTAAAATTTAATGAGTTAAAAATCTTCTCATGTGTATATGAACTAGGGCTGTCCCTGACCCAAAAAAAATATTGGTCGACCGAGATTAGTCTTTTCTTTCGAGCAATCGATTGGTCGAAATTTAAAAACGTGTATTTTTCCATATATAGACACACCCTATGTGTTTTAATAAAATCAACTATATGTACTGAGCTTGTCTGATGCTTTAAGCATGCTGTTTGATTAAATAATTAAGACACACAAATGATTAGAGGGAGCCAGAGATCAAGATAGCCTAACCAGAAGGAAAAAAAACCTGTTCCCGACCCTCCTCCTCCCGTTGCTGCTGGCCTTCGCAGATTCTGCCCTGCGGTTAAACTCCTGAAGTTGCCGGTAATAGTCTACACCAGGGGTCGGCAACCTTTTCCATTTGGAGTGCCAATTTATCTTACCATTTCTATCGATCTGCGTGCCAGTTATGATTTTCATATGCACATTGTTGTGGAACAGTTTCATTTAATTTATAATAGTATTTTATCTCAAAATCATTGTTATGTGGTTAATTTAAATTCTATCTAAATGAAACAAATCTAAAAGTAACATCTATTGCCAAGTATGTAAACATAGCTTACATAAAGCCAACAAATAAAAACATTGCAGCCTGCAGGTAGAAAATATCCTGATAACTATACTATAAAACACATTGGCTACGCATGGCTGTCTGCAACAACCTTGAAACATTGTATCAACTGTCTGGCCCAAAGCTTGTGCTAGCAAATTTTCAACATTGTATAAAATATTCTGGGCTCTCAGTGTCCCGCGCCAGTGAGCTCGGGACAGGCACGGCTGTAGGCTATTTGTGCAAGGGATAAGTAGTAATCAGGTGTTTTTAAGTTTCTACTGGATCAGAGCATTACATTTTCCCCTTTCATGTGGAGTGGTTATCAGAAGGGAGAGAGCTGGAAATATTTGTCAAATACATTGAGGAACTATTGTCATTCTCAATGGATTCTAAAAACATTTACATTTTACATTTTAGTCATTTAGCAGACACTCTTATCCAGAGCGTCTTACAGTTAGAGTGCATACATTTGTTTACTTGGTGTTTGAGGTGAAGACATTTTTAATTTGAGAAGCTCCACAGCTCGTTAGTGAGTTAAGACAATCAGAAATACTATCCGACATCCCCAAATGGGCACATTTATAGGCCTACAGGCCAGGTAGCATAGGCCTACTTCTATATGCGTAATCAGGTGCACATCCTTACTCATTGACAGGAGTGCTCCAAACAAAAGACAATGGAAAAAAATGACAACTTGTAAATGGAATGAAATAAACCAAAACTTGTTTCTCACAAGTGTAGCATAGGTTGTGAGCTCTGCAAACAACGTGTCCACTCCGACAAAGAGAACGCTTCACGACTGTAATAATAATAATATATTGAATGCATTAACAGAAATTACTGTAACCAAACAAACATTGTAGATTAGAAATTATGGGAATTAACGGTAAATGTAGGCTACTACTGGTGATTATATGTAATGGGGAATTGATAGACACTAACAAAGGGCAAACAATTCACACAAGGAAGTTATGAAACAATAAATGAGCACGAAATGGCGGGAGAGACATGCCTTGTGCATCTTAGCCACACTCCCTTTTCCTGAGACAAGCGCGAATCAGACTTGTCTTGTGTGCCATAAAAAAATATACATATTTGCGACTGCTCGACTAAAAAATCTCGGCCGACCAAGAGCCTATCGACCAAACAATCGACCAGTTGACTAAATGGGTTCAGCCCTAATATGAACCATATACAGTGCCTTCAGAAAGTATTACTCCTACAGCCTGAATTCAAAATTGATTAATATTTATTTATCACGCACCTACACACAATACCCCATAATGAAAAATGAAAATATGTTTAGAAACTTTAGCAAATGTATAGAAAATGAAATATAGATCTGATTTACATAAGAATTCCCACCCCTGAGTCAATACTTTGTAGAAGCACCTTTGGCAGCGATTACAGCATGAATCATCTTGTACGGTGCATACAGAAAGTATTCAGACCCCTTGACTTTTTCCATATTTTGTTACGTTACAGCCTTATTCTAAAATTGATTAAAATAAATGTTTTCCTCATCAATCTACACATAATACTATATAATGACAAAACGAAAACAGGTTTTTAGAAATGTTAGGAAATGTATTTTTATTTACATAAGTATTCAGACCTTTTGCTGTGTTTCAACAACTTGATTGGAGTTCACCTGTGATAAATTCAATTGATTGGACATGATTTGGAAAGGCACACACCTGTCTATATAAGGTCCCACAGTTGACAGCGCATGTCAGAGCAAAAACCAAGCCATGTGGTCAAAGAAATTGTCCATAGAGCTCTGAGACAGGATTGTGTCGAGGCACAGATGTGAGGAAGGGTACCAACACATTTCTGCAGCTGTGAAGGTCCCCAAGAACACAGTGGTCTTCATCATTCTTAAATGGAAGAAGTTTGGAACCACCAAGACTCTTCCTAGAGCTGGCAGCCCGCCAAACTGAGCAATCAAGGGAGAAGGGCCTTGGTCAGTGAGGTGAACAAGAACCCGATGGTCACCCTGACAGAGCTCCAGAGTCCCTCTGTGGAGATGGGAGAACCTTCCAGAAGGACAACCATCTCTGCAGCACTCCACCAATCAGGCCTTTATGGTAGAGTGGCCAGACATAAGCCACTCCTCAGTAAAAGGCACATGACAGCCCACTTGGAGTTTGCCAAAATGCACCTAAAGACTCTCAGACCATGAGAAACAAGATTCTCTGGTCTGATTTACATTTTAGTCATTTAGCAGACGCTCTTATCCAGAGCGACTTACAGTTAGTGAGTGCATACATTTTTATTTTTTATACTGGAATCGAACCCACAACCCTGGCGTTGCAAATGCCATGCTCTACCAACTGAGCTACATCCCTGCCGGCCATTCCCTCCCCTACCCTGGACGACGCTGGGCCAATTGTGCGCCGCCCCATGGGTCTCCCGGTCGCGGCCGGCTACGACAGAGCCTGGATTCGAACCAGGATCTCTAGTGGCACAGCTAGCACTGCGATGCAGTGCCTTAGACCACTGCGCCACTCGGGAGGAAACCAAGATTGAATCTTTGGCCTGAATGCCAATCGTAACGTCTGGAGGAAACCTGGAACCAAACCTACGGTGAAGCATGGTGGTGGTGGCAGCATCATGCTGTGGGGATGTTTTTCAGCGGCAGGGACTGGGAGACTAGTCAGGATCGAGGGAAAGATGAACGGCGCAAAGTACACAGAGATCCTTGATGAAAACCTGCTCCAGAGCACTCAGGACCTCAGACTGGGGCAAACAGACACACCTTCCAACAGGACAACAACCCTAAGCACACAGCCAATAATGCAGGAGTGGCTTCGGGACAAGTCTCTGAATGTCCTTGAGTGGCCCAGCCAGAGCCCGGACTTGAACCTGATTGAACATCTCTGGAGAGACCTGAAAATAGCTGTGCAGCGACTCTCCCCATCCAACCTGACAGAGCTTGAGAGGATCTGCAGAGAAGAATGGGAGAAACTCCCTAAATACAGGTGTGCCAAGCTTGTAGCGTCATACCCAAGAAGATTCAAGGCTGTAATCGCTGCCCAAGGTGCTTCAACAAAGTACTGGGTACTGGCCACTCTCCCATAAAGCCCAGATTGGTGAAGTGCTATAGAGACCGTTGTCCTTTTGGCAGGTTCTCCCATCTCAGCCAAGGAACTCTGTAGTTCTGTCAGAGTGGTCATTGGGTTCTTGGTCATCTCCCTGACCAAGGTCCTGGTTGCTCAGTTTGGTCAGACGGCCAGCTCTAGGCAGAGTCTGTTTGGAGACTGATGGAGACCACTGTGCTGTTTGAAACTTTCAACACTCTAGAAATAGTTTTATACCTTTCTCCAGATATATGCTTCATCACAATTACAGCCAGTTCCTTGGACTTCATGGTATAGTTTCTGCTCTGACATGCACTGTCAACTATGGGACCTTATATAGACAGGTGTTCCTTTCTAAATCATGTCCAAACAATTGAATTGGCCACAGGTGGACTCCAATCAAGTTGTAGTGACGTCTCAAGGATTATCAAAGGAATCTGGTGTGAATACTTATGTAAATGAGATTTCATTTTCAATACATTTGCAAAAATGTCTAAACATGTTTTCCCTTGTCATTTGGGGGGGGTTGTGTGTAGATGGGTGAGAGAAACAAATATATTTAATCCATTTTGAATTCAGGCTGTAACACAACAAAATGTGGACTATGTCAAGGGGTATACAGTGGGGGAAAAAGTATTTAGTCAGCCACCAATTGTGCAAGTTCTCCCACTTAAAAAGATGAGAGGCCTAAGTATTTGGTCAATAAAAAAAGTTTCTATACCCTTTGTTGGCAATGACACAGGTCAAACGTTTTCTGTAAGTCTTTTCACACACTGTTGCTGGAATTTTGGCCCATTCCTCCATGCAGATCTCCTCTAGAGCAGTGATTTTCTATGGGGTTGAGATCTGGAGACTGGCTAGGCCACTCCAGGACCTTGAAATGCTTCTTACGAAGCCACTCCTTCGTTGCCCGGGCGGTGTGTTTGGGATCATTGTCATGCTGAAAGACCCAGCCACGTTTCATCTTCAATGCCCTTGCTGATGGAAGGAGGTTTTCACTCAAAATCTCACGATACATGGCCCCATTCATTCTTTCCTTTACACGGATCAGTCGTCCTGGTCCCTTTGCAGAAAAACAGCCCCAAAGCATGATGTTTCCACCCCCATGCTTCACAGTAGGTATGGTGTTCTTTGGATGCAACTCAGCATTCTTTGTCCTCCAAACACGACGAGTTTAGTTTTTACCAAAAAGTTCTATTTTGGTTTCATCTGACCATATGACATTCTCCCAATCCTCTTCTGGATCATCCAAATGCACTCTAGCAAACTTCAGACGGGCCTGGACATGTACTGGCTTAAGCAGGGGGACACGTCTGGCACTGCAGGATTTGAGTCCCTGGCGGCGTAGTGTGTTACTGATGGTAGGCTTTGTTACTTTGGTCCCAGCTCTCTGCAGGTCATTCACTAGGTCCCCCTGTGTGGTTCTGGGATTTTTCCTCACCGTTCTTGTGATCATTTTGACCCCACGGGGTGAGATCTTGCGTGGAGCCCCAGATCGAGGGAGATTATCAGTGGTCTTGTATGTCTTCCATTTCCTAATAATTGCTCCCACAGTGGATTTCTTCAAACCAAGCTGCTTACCTATTGCAGATTCAGTCTTCCCAGCCTGGTGCAGGTCTACAATTTTGTTTCTGGTGTCCTTTGACAGCTCTTTGGTCTTGGCCATAGTGGAGTATGGAGTGTGACTGTTTGAGGTTGTGGACAGGTGTCTTTTATACTGATAACAAGTTCAAACAGGTGCCATTAATACAGGTAACGAGTGGAGGACAGAGGAGCCTCTTAAAGAAGAAGTTACAGGTCTGTGCGAGCCAGAAATCTTGCTTGTTTGTAGGTGACCAAATACTTATTTTCCACCATAATTTGCAAATAAATTCATTAAAAATCCTACAATGTGATTTTCTGGATTTTTTTTCTTCTCAATTTGTCTGTCATAGTTGACGTGTAGCTATGATGATAAATTACAGGCCTCTCATCTTTTTAAGTGGGAGAACTTGCACAATTGGTGGCTGACTAAATACTTTTTTCCCCCACTGTACATACTTTATGAAGGCACTGTAGGCATCAATAAAGCCAAACATTTTGTTAAACAAATAGCAACTTTATTTTTGCTTTGATGACAGTGACAGAGCAGGATACGAGGAGGCTGATTAAGTTGCGTGCGGCCAATGAAGTTCTCTTCACTGGGAGGCGAAATGCTGCCAAGGCTGCATGGAAGTGAGTAGGATTTATTATGAAAATAAATGTCAATGACAAAGCACTAAAGTCAGATATGCATAATCAACACTGATCACATTGATCATTTTTGTGTGCAGGGCCATTTTAAAAGAGTTGGGTCTCCTGGGGAAGGTGTCAACTTACCAGGTGGCCAAGAAGTGGGACAACTTAAAAAGGAGATATAAGGTAAACTATCAAGTGTGTGTTTGCTGCAAATTTCTGCAACATGAAATAAACCAAACTGTAAATAGATCAAAATCAGAATGTTTATATTGAAGGACCAATCCTTAATAATGCCCATGCATTGGTCAAATACTTTCACCCAGCTGAAGTCTGCTCTGTTGTTTGTATTCTACACTGTGATCACACTTGTTCCCTGAACAGGACCTGAAGTACCCTCCTGTGGGCATGGAGAGCATGGCAGACAACGCTGCTTCCTGGCCATGGTTCTACCTCATGAATGAGGCCATGGAGGGCCGCCTCGCCGCAAGCGGACCCGTCCTGACCCCTATAACAGAGGGCGATGACCCCGAGCCTTCCTCTTCACAGCCCTCTCGAAATAGAGGACGCCCGTTGCTGGACAAGGGCGACATCACACTGGAGTACGAACAAGAGATTTATGTGGACCCCACAACAGAGGAGGGCCACCGGGCCACAGCGGAGTGCGAGAGGGCCCTGAGAGAGGAGAGGTTGGGTAGGGGGCCAGCAGGGGGCACTACTGCTCACAAGGCAGTGACACTGGAGAGAGAGTGGGAGATGGTGGAGAGGGAGAGGGCAGCGATAGAGGGGGATAGAGCGGCGGTAGACAGAGAGCGGCAGTGGCTGGAGAGCGAGAGAGCCAACTTGGCAAGAGACAGGATGCTGTTGGAACAGGACATGGTGGCACTAGGGAGAGAGAGAGAGGCCTTTGAGAGCCAGAGGGCAGCAGTGGTGATGAACAGTGCTACAGTGGTGCACACTGGACACATCAACCACTGTGGGATGGGGATGTAGACTTATGGTATTAACTGCCTTGGAAGCCAAGGACTGATCAAGAGCCTTCATGTAATTTAGAGAACAGACTTTTCAGCATGTTTTCACCTTATTGGCTTGAAAGATTAATACATTTTTTACACTCTCTCTCATTAGGATCATGGGACCTGAAGATTCACAAGAGAACACGCTTTGTTTGATTTGTGATTGATACATTCAAAACATCTAAACTTAATGGTTTATTCAACTAAACCAGTGACAGAGATTCAATCTTGTTTTGAATGACATTTGAGAATTGCTCTGTGTTGTTTCTTTTGAAAGAATAGGCTAATTATGTTATGTAAGCCTTAAAGTGTTTGTGATTTGACTCTCATCATTATCTCAATGACCTCATCCCGTCTTTTCAGTCTTGGTTGCAATTATATTGTAATATAAGACAAATTAGCACCATAAGTGAGAGATCTGAATGTTTTATAGAAGTGTTCACTTTTTATTTACTGACTACTTTTGTCTAATGTGAAAAGCTGTTTCCATGTTCAAACAATGAATATGCTATAAATTACTGCTAAAAAAGTATGGAAGTTAAATATTGTTTGAGAAATCAAATCACAGTATGACCAAAGCTCTAGTGAGAAACGTGATGGAATATATATTTTTAGAAAATAGTACCCACTCAACAATTTTGTGTATAGCCTACAATAAAAAGGACCATACTCTGCTCATGATTTTCTGGTTATCGGATCTGTAAAAATGTAGAGGACTAGGGTCTAAAATCAATGGATGGTTAGGTTTGTACTCAACATAGATTTCATTCCATGCATTACTGTTTGTATCCAGATGCCCTTTGTAGCCAACTGAAGAAGCTTTGCTAGGAGAATCTCCGGGTGGACTTTATAAATTCATTGTCTAACCCACTCCACTGGCCTGGGACAGTGTGCCAAGTCCTGGGACAAGTCTTTCTTTCTTCCCAGACCTGGAGGTCCTGCAGTTCCACCGACTGTCCAGCTTGAAGTGTCATAGCGGCTGCAGCCTCCACTACAGCGAACAGAGTGTTTCGGGGTGGAAAGGTTCCATATTACCCAGGAGATTAATTGCCTCTTTTCTAGCATAGGCCTTGTTTCTATAACACCTATCAAACATAATGCAACAACAACAAAATCCACAATGTATTTTTGACAGGCAATTGTGTGTGCATAGTACTGCAGTAGTATAATAGTACTGCCAGTATGAAAAATGTATGCACTCACTAACTGTAAGTCGCTCTGGATAAGAGCGTCTGCTAAATGACTAAAATATAAAATGTATAATGTTTAGAGAGAGGGGGTGGAGAAAAGGGAGGGATGATTGAGTCAAAGAATCTGGCAAAGAAAGAAACTGAGCTTTTAACCAAACTGGATCAACCTGACTAGCAACCAGCTGCATTTGCTCTTTTGTGCTTCTCATAAAGGGCTTCTCATACGGGCAACACGAGAGAGAGTAATCAGACATCATGCTCACTGTACGCATAGGTAAGTCATATTTTCCCATAAAATTACAATGTTTTATGTTTACTGAGAAATCTGTATATCAATCTGTCTGTCTCTGTTCTTAAAATAAATACTATATTGACAATGACAAGTTCATCTCTTGTAGGACAAAGGGTGCATAAAACACAGGGCCCCACAAGTAAGTTGCAAAGCCAGCTTTTTTTTATGCATGTTTTATGTATTGCTGCTCAATATATTAATGTTTTAATAGTGTGTATACTATGGAATAACTTACTTAATGAATAAACAAGATGATAAACAAAAACAGAATTCCACAAAGGGGAGAAGACTACCAACCAACAATGCAGTTTTACTGGTAGAGCAGTCTGCTATTTACCTCTGGCTCAGGCCAGTCAGGTGTTATTAAGCCTTTCCTACTGTAGGATGAGTGTAGAAATATACTTCAGTGTTTAGTGTAGGGCCCAGATCCTAGCTTGTGATCCATGCAAGTACTGACTTCCTCATAATCCATGTATTTACTGTATGTCAATAGGACATTTGATTGAACATGAGTGAAATCAGCCCTTTGGTTGCACATTTTACAGTTGTAGTCATGCGTTCATTGACAGCTGTCTATCCTTGTCTACAATACATGAGTGACTTCGTGATTATCCCGTATTAGTACAATATCCCCATTATTTATCTTGCAGGCCTTCTTCCAATCATAGCAGTGCTTGGAGTCATTTTCTTTGCTGTTTTCCTCATAATCCGGTCTCAAAGTAAGTCTTGATGGTAATGTTTGTCACATTAGGAGACATTCATTTGATAACGACTTCTAATTACATCTAATAAAGGTATAACTGCTGTTAATAAAACCAGCATAACATTTAAATAAAAGTTTGTCATATAGCCTAGCTGATGAATTTATCAGGAAAAGTGTTCATGGTTTCTTCAAGAGTAAGTATTCGCTACAATAGTTCCCACTCATAATGATACACGCTGCTCCTTCCCCCTATTACTCTAGACCACACCCTCTCCTGGTATCCTGAGTTTCCTGGTCCAGAGTGGCTACAGGGGCCTAATGTGCCCCAAGTGAGCAGTGAGTAATCAGAATGATGTGTGTGTGTTTATGCAATGTTTCTACCTGTGCAACATGTTTGGGCTACTAGCATCCACATATTCAAAATGAAACAAAGTTGTAGCTGGCAAGGCCAAAAAGCTAAACAGGTAGTCTACCCCATCAAATTAATGGTATGGGGAACCATTCATATGTGTGATTGTGTGTGTTTCTCCTCCTGAATACTTGTGCAGCCTCCAGACAAAGACCAAGTCCGTGTGGCATCCCAATGTCCTGTCCAGAGGGCGACTTCAGCTTTTTCATCGCCAGTGGAGCTGCTAATGTGGTTGGACCCAAAATCTGCATAGAGGACAAAATGTAAGGAATGACATTTTTGGTTTTCTTGCACAGGAATGTAAGTGTGTGTGAGCGAGAGATGTCTTGATGGAGAGAGTCCCCTATTATAGTTCACTGATGGGGGGGGGGGGGGGTTGTCAGGTTGTAAGATTTTTTTTTTTTTTTTATGTTCTCTTCAGGATTATGGGTTATGTGGAAAACAATGTAGGGTGCGGAATTAACATTGCTGTTGTGAACGGTAAGTCAAAAGGATTCATGTGATTTTTGTTTTATTTATATATATATACACACACACACACACACACAATGAGGGGAAAAAAGTATTTGATCCCCTGCTGATTTTGTAAGTTTTCCCACTGACAAAGACATGATCAGTCTATAATTTTAATGGTAGTTTTATTTGAACAGTGAGAGACAGAATAACAACAAAAAAATCCAGAAAAACGCATGTCAAAAATGTTATAAATTGATTTGCATTTTAATGAGGGAAATAAGTATTTGACCCCTCTGCAAAACATGACTTAGTACTTGGTGGCAAAACCCTTGTTGGCAATCACAGAGGTCAGACGTTTCTTGTAGTTGGCCACCAGGTTTGCACACATCTCAGGAGGGATTTTGTCCCACTCCTCTTTGCAGATCTTCTCCAAGTCATTAAGGTTTCGAGCCTGACGTTTGGCAACTCGAACCTTCAGCTCCCTCCACATATTTTCTATGGGATTAAGGTCTGGAGACTGGCTAGGCCACTCCAGGACCTTAATGTGCTTCTTCTTGAGCCACTCCTTTGTAGCCTTGGCCATGTGTTTTGGGTCATTGTCATGCTGGAATACCCATCCACGACCCATTTTCAATGCCCTGGCTGAGGGAAGGAGGTTCTCACCCAAGATTTGACGGTACATGGCGCCGTCCATCGTCCCTTTGATGCGGTGAAGTTGTCCTGTCCCCTTAGCAGAAAAACACCCCCAAAGCATAATGTTTCCACCTCCATGTTTGACGGTGGGGATGGTGTTCTTGGGGTCATAGGCAGCATTCCTCCTCCTCCAAACACGGCGAGTTGAGTTGATGCCAAAGAGCTCCATTTTGGTCTCATCTGACCACAACACTTTCACCCAGTTCTCCTCTGAATCATTCAGATGTTCATTGGCAAACTTCAGACGGGCCTGTATATGTGCTTTCTTGAGCAGGGGGACCTTGCGGGCGCTGCAGGATTTCAGTCCTTCACGGCGTAGTGTGTTACCAATTGTTTTCTTGGTGACTATGGTCCCAGCTGCCTTGAGATCATTAACAAGATCCTCCCGTATATACAGTGAGGGGAAAAAGTATTTGATCCCCTGCTGATTTTGTACGTTTGCCCACTGACAAAGAAATGATCAGTCTATAATTTTAATGGTAGGTTTATTTGAACAGTGAGAGACAGAATAACAACAACAAAATCCAGAAAAAAGCATGTCAAAAATGTTATCAATTGATTTGCATTTTAATGAGGGAAATAAGTATTTGACCCCCTCTCAATCCGAAAGATTTCTGGCTCCCAGGTGTCTTTTATACAGGTAAAGAGCTGAGATTAGGAGCACACTCTTAAAGGGAGTGCTCCTAATCTCAGTTTGTTACCTGTATAAAAGACACCTGTCCACAGAAGCAATCAATCAATCAGATTCCAAACTCTCCACCATGGCCAAGACCAAAGAGCTCTCCAAAGATGTCAGGGACAAGATTGTAGACCTACACAAGGCTGGAATGGGCTACAAGACCATCGCCAAGCAGCTTGGTGAGAAGGTGACAACAGTTGGTGCGATTATTCGTAAATGGAAGAAAAACAAAATAACTGTCAATCTCCCTCGGCCTGGGGCTCCATGCAATATTTTACCTTGTGGAGTTGCAATGATCATGAGAACGGTGAGGAATGAGCCCAGAACTACACGGGAGGATCTTGTCAATGATCTCAAGGCAGCTGGGACCATAGTCACCAAGAAAACAATTGGTAACACACTACGCCGTGAAGGACTGAAATCCTGCAGTGCCCGCAAGGTCCCCCTGCTCAAGAAAGCACATATACATGACCGTCTGAAGTTTGCCAATGAACATCTGAATGATTCAGAGGAGAACTGGGTGAAAGTGTTGTGGTCAGATGAGACCAAAATGGAGCTCTTTGGCATCAACTCAACTCGCCGTGTTTGGAGGAGGAGGAATGCTGCCTATGACCCCAAGAACACCATCCCCACCGTCAAACATGGAGGTGGAAACATTATGCTTTGGGGGTGTTTTTCTGCTAAGGGGACAGGACAACTTCACCGCATCAAAGGGACGATGGACGGGGCCATGTACCGTCAAATCTTGGGTGAGAACCTCCTTCCCTCAACCAGGGCATTGAAAATGGGTCGTGGATGGGTATTCCAGCATGACAATGACCCAAAAACACACGGCCAAGGCAACAAAGGAGTGGCTCAAGAAGAAGCACATTAAGGTCCTGGAGTGGCCTAGCCAGTCTCCAGACCTTAATCCCATAGAAAATCTGTGGAGGGAGCTGAAGGTTCGAGTTGCCAAACGTCAGCCTCGAAACCTTAATGACTTGGAGAAGATCTGCAAAGAGGAGTGGGACAAAATCCCTCCTGAGATGTGTGCAAACCTGGTGGCCAACTACAAGAAACGTCTGACCTCTGTGATTGCCAACAAGGGTTTTGCCATCAAGTACTAAGTCATGTTTTGCAGAGGGGTCAAATACTTATTTCCCTCATTAAAATGCAAATCAATTGATAACATTTTTGACATGTGTTTTTCTGGATTTTTTTGTTGTTATTCTGTCTCTCACTGTTCAAATAAACCTACCATTAAAATTATAGACTGATCATTTCTTTGTCAGTGGGAAAACTTACAAAATCAGCAGGGGATCAAATACTTTTTTCCCTCACTGTACATATATATATATATATATATATATATATATATATATATATATATATACACAAAATTACAAAAATATTATGCGTTTTCTTATTTTACATATCTTGTATTATCATCAGTGTTTATCTGATCGAAGCGCTAAATACCTAATTGGTCTCGCTCTCTTTTTCACACAGGGAAGACCGGGGAGGTTATGAAGACAGTATTTTTTAACATGTACGATGGCGGTAAGATGGTTTACAGCCCCCTATTACTTTTCTGGTCAGAGGAGCATGTACACTGCCTAGTGAACGTCTACAAACCCCCTTGCACAGTCTTAACATTTTGCAAAATCTAAATGTTTTAAATTGGGGGTGATTTCTACCGATCTACACAACATACTCCACATTTCAAAGTGAAAAAAAATAAATATAAATATATATATATATATATATATATATACACACACACACACTACCGTTCAAAAGTTTGGGGTCACTTACAAATGTCCTTGTTTTCGAAAGAAAAGCAACCATCAATCCTGTGTTCCAATGGCATGTTGTTTGCTAATCCAAGTTTATCATTTTAAAAGGCTAATTGATCATTAGAAAACGATTTTTCAATTATGTTAGCACAGCTGAAAACTGTTGTGCTGATTTAATGAAGCAATAAAACTGGCCTTCTTGAGACTAGTTGAGTATCTGGAGCATCAGCAATTGTGGGTTTGATTACAGGCTCAAAATGGCCAGAAACAAATATCTTTCATCTGAAACTCGTCAGTCTATTCTTGTCTGAGAAATGAAGGCTATTCCATGCGAGAAATTGCCAAGAAACTGAAGATCTCGTACAACGCTGTGTACTACTCCCTTCACAGAACAGCGCAAACTGGCTCTAACCAGAATAGAAAGAGGAGTGGGAGGCCCTGACCACAACTGAGCAAGAGGACAAATACATGAATGTCTAGTTTGAGAAACCGGCGCCTCACAGGTCCTCAACTGACAGCTTCATTAAATAGTACCCGCAAAACACCAGTCTCAACGTCAACAGTGAAGAGGCGACTCCGGGATGCTGACCTTCAGAGTTGCAAAGAAAAAAGCCATATCTCAGACTGGCCAATAAAAAGAATAGATGGGCGAAAGAACAGACACAGGACTTTTTCTTTGCAATTCTGCCTAGAAAGTCAGCATCCTGGAGTCTCCTCTTACATTTACATTTTAGTCATTTAGCAGACGCTCTTATCCAGAGCGACTTACAGTTAGTGAGTGCATACATTATTATTAATTTAAAAAAATAATAATAATCATACTGGCCCCCCGTGGGAATCGAACCCACAACCCTGGCGTTGCAAACGCCATGCTCTACCAACTGAGCTACATCCCTGCCGGCCATTCCCTCCCCTACCCTGGACGACGCTGGGCCAATTGTGCACCGCCCCATGGGTCTCCCGGTCGCGGTCACTATTGACGTTGAGACTGGTGTTTTGCGGGTACTATTAGGTAGGGGTAAAGTGACTATGCATAGATAAACAGCGAGTAGCGTAGAAAAGGGGGTCAATGCAAATAGTCTGGGTAGCCATTTGATTAACTGTTTAGCAGTCTAATGGCTTGGGGGTAGAAGCTGTTAAGAAGCTTTTTGGACCTAGAGTTGGCACACCAGTACCGCTTGCTGTGCGGTAGCAGAGAGAACAGTCTATGACTAGGATGGCTGGAGACTTTGACAATTTTTAGGACCTTCCTCTGACACCGCCTGGTATAGAGGTCCTGGAAGCTTGGCCCCAGTGATGTACTGGGCCGTACGCACTACCCTCTGTAGCGCCTTGCGGTCAGATGCCGAGCAGTTGCCATACCAAGCAGGGATTCAACCAGTCAGGATGCTCTCGATGGTGCAGCTTTAGAACCTTTTTTAGGATCTGAGGACCCATGCCAAATCTTTTTAGGGGAATAGGTGTTGTCGTGTCCTCTTCACGACTGTCTTGGTGTGTTTGGACCATGATAGTTTTAGTGATGTGGACGCCAAGAAACTTGAAGCTTTCGACCCACTCTACTACAGCCCAGTCGATGTGAATGGGGGTGTGCTCGCCCCCCCTTTTCCTGTAGTCCACGATCAGCTCTTTTGTCTTGGTCATTTTGAGGGAGAGGTTGTTGTCCTTGCACCACTGCCAGGTCTCTAACCTCCCTGTAGGCTGTCTCAACGTTGTTGGTGATCAGGCCTACCACCGTTGTGTCGTCGGTAAACTTAATGATGGTGTTGGAGTCGTGGGTGAACAGGGAGTACACGAGGGGACTAAGCACACACCCCTGAGGGTCCCCAGTGTTGAGGATCAGCATGGCAGGTGTGTTGTTGCCTACCCTTACCACCTGGGGGTGGCCCGTCAGGAAGTCCAGGATCCAGTGGCAGAGCAAGGTGTTTATTCTCCGGGTCATAAGCGTTCCACAGGGATGCTGGCCCATGTTGACTCAATGCTTTCCACAGTTGTCAAGTTGGCTGTATGTCCTTTGGGTGGTGGACCATTCTTGATACACACGGGAAACTGTTGAGCGTGGAAAAACCCAGCAGCGTTGCAGTTCTTGACACAAACCGGTGCGCCTGGCACCTACTACTATACCCCGTTCAAAGGCACTTGCCCATTCACCCTCAAAGGAACACATACACAATCCATGTCTCAATTGTCTCAAGGCTTAAAAATCCTTCAACCTGTCTCCTCCTCTTCATCTACACTGATTGAAGTGGATTCAATAAGGGATCATAGCTTTCACCTGGTCAGTCTGTCATGGAAAGAGCAGTTCTTAATGTTTTGTATACTCAGTGTATTGCTGTCCATCAATAATTCCCAACCAGATTTACTGAGCTTGAGCAATTCTGACAAAAACAATGGATATACAGTGAGTTCCATAATTATTGACACCCTTGATAAAGATGAGCAAAAAATGTATAATAGAAATATTGAGCCATATTCTATGCTAAATAAAATGGGGAAATTATATTTTATACTAATACAATTGCTCAGAGAAAGAGATTTTCTTTAACAAGTAATTTAAAAAAGATGGGGGTCAAAATTATTGGCAACCCTGTTTTCAGTACTCCAGCACTCTCCCCTTGTGAGGATAACAACACAGCCTTTTTCAAAAAATATTTTATGAGATTGGAGAACACATTGGGAGGAATTTTAGACCCTTCCTCCATACAGAATCTTTCCAGATCCTTGATATCTATCGTTTGCATTTATGGACAGTCCTCTTCGATGCAAACCACAGGTTTTCAATGGGGTTCAATTCCGGAGACTGAGAAGGCCTTTGCAAAATGTTGATTTTGTGGTCAATTAACCATTTCGATTCGTGCTTGGGATTATTGTCTTGCTGGAAGATTCACTTGCGGCCAAGTGTCAGCCTCCTGGCAGAGGCAACCAGGTTTTTGACTAAAATTTGCAAAGTTATTCAAAATGAGTAAGCTGTAATGGCTGCCAACGGTGCTTCCACCAAGTATTAACTGTGGATGAAGACTTCTTTCTTAATTTACAAAATAATAATTTAGGACACTGTCTATCATTTGTAACTTAAATTTGTTAAAAGTAAATCCCTTAGATTTACTTTTAAGGCAGCAAAATGTGAAGACTGCAAGGGGTGTGTAGATTTTCACTAGGCACTGTATTTCCTGCTTAGCAGCATTACTTAAATGCATCTCCACCCTTTCCATGGCTGTTTCTGTACCTTTGTTATAATTGTTGCGCTATTAACCAACCAGATACAATAGTTCCTGTATGGGTTGGTCAATCCTATCCAGCTCATTCAAAACTGAAGTAGTGTTTCTTAAAATAATACATTGATTTTGTTCAGTGTACAAAAATTCTCATTTCAACTCCTCAAAGAAGAAAACCATTGATCATGTTGAAAGCTGACAAGGTATCCCTGTCTTGCAGATATTGAACCTCTGGTGGAGTTTCTAGAGTCCATTGAGAAAGGGTCCCTTGTATTGATTGCAACCTACGACGACCCAGCTACAAAGTGAGTCACGTTTCATTTGAACATTAAACCAACTTTCATGGCAGAATTTATTACCAATATGGTCATCCAGGATACTTTATGATAATGCTTTGGGATCTTTGGAGTGTGCACCAAAATCATTTAATTAATTGAAGCACTCTGTATGCTCATACAAAGTCCTATCACAAGCCTATTCATATTGTTTTTAGTGATCCAATTAATGGTGGTAGTGAGGAAAGATACTGAATGGTTTATTAATTGATTGACAGATTGAACAAAGAAGCGAGGACGCTTATCAATGAGCTTGGCAGCTCTGCTATCCAGTCATTAGGCTTCAGAGACAACTGGGTCTTTGTTGGAGGAAAAGGAGCAGATGTCAAGAGTACCTTAGAGAAGGTAATACCATACCAACATGTATAATAGGTTTTCTCTGTTATCCAGAGTTTTGGACTGCACCCGCAGTTCCCCACTTTTTCTCTGATATAATTTGAGCTGTACGAGCTATGTGGTTATGTTGCTGATGCAGGCAGCTTTAGAATCTAATCAATCTGTTTTTTTTCCCCCCCACAGCATATTAAAAACAATAGAGACAAAAACAAGTATGACGCCTGGCCAGAAATGATTGAGATGCAGGGATGCTTACCCCGCTATTTGGAGTGATTGGTACCAAAAATGTTCATACCCTGTCAGACCCCATATCTATCACGTTGTGATGTCTGTATTACTCTGAAAATTGCATAATAAACAACAATTGTTTGGCTTTGTTTATAAAGTAATTTTTTGGCAAAATACAGAATTCTGTTTAACACACATAATAGAGCTCGCCAGCTTGTAGTCCTACAAACCGGAAATTAGTTACCTGTGGTTCATTCTACCATTTTTAATGTGGAAAGAATAGGGTTTTGGGAATTACGCTAAAAATAAGGTCTGTGGTTAACACAGGCTTAGAATGTCTTATACGTTTTGTTCTATGAGATATCAGTCAGTTAACATGACCATGAAGTATGACGCCTTTATGTGCTTTGTGGCGTTTTGATTACGAAAATTCACAAAAACTGACTAGCTGATGAAGACTATCTCATAGAATAAAATGTGTAAGATCTCCAAAGCCTGTGTCTACCAGACTTTATTTTCGCCGTTTATCCAAAAGCCCTCCCCAAAAAATATTTAATTTCTCCATAGGCTTTGGCCAACGAGCCATGGTGGAGTTGGTGCCTACAAAAAGTCACCATTATTATTGCTCTCTATAGGGCAGCTTTTCCCAAATTTGATCCTCAGGTCCCCAAGGGGTGCACGTTTTGGTTTTTGCCCTAACACTACACAGCTGATTCAAGTTATCAAAGCTTGATGATTAGTTGATTATTTGAATTGGCAGTGTAGTGCTAGGGCAAAAACCAAAACGTGCACCCCTTGGGGTCCAGAGGACCGAGTTTGGGAAACCCTGCAATAGGGGTTAGTTATTATAAACTACAACCAAAGACCGACAGTACAGTATGTGTTACAACTATAGAGCTCGCCAACTTGTAGTCCTAAAAAACTGAAATGAGTTACCTCTGGTTCGTTCAGCCATTACTATGGGGGAAGAATAGGGTTTGGGGATAAATGTTGAAAATAAGGTCTGAGGTTAACACAGGTTTCGGAGATCTTATACGTTTTGGTCTGAGATATCATTTACATTTACGTCATTTAGCAGACGCTCTTATCCAGAGCGACTTACAAATAGGTGCATTCACCCAGTGGGATAACCACTTTACAATGTTTTTTTTTTTTTTTTTTTGGGGGGGGGGGGGGGGTGGGTAGAAGGATGACTTTATCCTATCCCAGGTATTCCTTAAAGAGGTGGGGTTTCAAATGTCTCCGGAAGGTGGTGAGTGACTCCGCTGTCCTGGCGTTGTGAGGGAGCTTGTTCCACCATTGGGGTGCCAGAGCAGCGAACAGTTTTGACTGGGCTGAGCGGGAACTATGCTTCCGCAGAGATAGGGGAGCCAGCAGGCCAGAGGTGGATGAACGCAGTGCCCTCGTTTTGGTGTAGGGACTGATCAGAGCCTGAAGGTACGGAGGTGCCGTTCCCCTCACAGCTCCGTAGGCAAGCACCATGGTCTTGTAGCAGATGCGAGCTTCAACTGATTCAGCAGGGAGGAGAATGTGGCAAGGAGCTTCCTAGGGTTAGAGGCGGATGCTTGGAATTTAGAGTGGTAGAAAGTGGCCTTAGCAGCATAAACAGATGAAGAAAATGTAGAGAGGAGGGAGTGAAAAGATGCCAGGTCTGCAGGGAGTCTAGTTTTCTTCCATTTCCGCTCAGCTGCCCGGAGCTCTGTTCTGTGAGCTCGCAATGAGTCATCAAGCCACGGAGCTGGAGGGGAGGACCGAGCCGGCCGGGAGGATAGGGGACATAGAGAGTCAAAGGATGCAGAAAGGGAGGAGAGGAGGGTTGAGGAGGCAGAATCAGGAGATTGGAGGGAGAAGGATTGAGCAGAGGGAAGAGATGATAGGATGGAAGAGGAGAGAGTAGCGGGAGAGAGAGAGCGAAGGTTGCGACGGCGCATTACCATCTGTGTAGGGGCAGAGTGAGTAGTGTTGGAGGAGAGGGAGAGAGAAAAGGATACAAAGTAGTGGTCGGAGACTTGGAGGGGAGTTGCAGTGAGATTAGTAGAAGAACAGCATCTAGTAAAGATGAGGTCAAGCGTATTGCCTGCCTTGTGAGTAGGGGGGGACGGTGAGAGGGTGAGGTCAAAAGAGGAGAGGAGTGGAAAGAAGGAGGCAGAGAGAAATGAGTCAAATGTAGACGTAGGGAGGTTGAAATCCCCCAGAACTGTGAGGGGTGAGCCATCCTCAGGAAAGGAACTTATCAAGGCGTCAAGCTCATTGATGAACTCTCCAAGGGAACCTGGAGGGCGATAGATGACAAGGATATTAAGCTTAAATGGGCTAGTGACTGTGACAGCATGGAATTCAAATGAGGAGACAGACAGATGGGTCAGGGGAAAAATTGAGAATGTCCACTTGGGAGAGATGAGGATTCCTGTGCCACCACCCCGCTGACCAGATGCTCTCGGGGTATGCGAGAACACATGGTCAGACGAGGAGAGAGCAGCAGGAGTAGCAGTGTTTTCAGTGGTATCAGTCAGTTAACATGACCTTTATGAATTATCAAGGCTTTGTGCCTTTTTATTACGTAAATACTTCAAAATTCACAAAGTGACGTTAGCTGATTTAAGATTCTCATAGAACAAAACGTATAAGATCTCCTAAGCCTGTGTTTACCACAGACCTTATTTTCGACGTTTATCCCAAAACTACAGTGGCCATAAGGGGCTAACCCGCTTTCAAAATAATAGGCAGCGAAGTTTGGTAAAAGGCTTCAAAATATTTAAGGCCTACAAAGTTTGGTAATAGGCTGCGTAGTTTGGTAAAAGGCTGCAAAATATTTTGGCCACTGAAATATTTTGGCCTGCGAAGTCTGTTTAAAAAGCTGTGAAATATTTGAAAGGCCGATGAAATTTGGTAAAAGGCTGCGAAATATTTAGAAGTCCTGCAAAATATTTAAGGCCTAATACATATTTAAAAGACCTGCGAAATATTTCTGAGGCCTTCAAAATATTTCTAAGATCTGCCAAAAATTATATTTCAAAGGCCGGTCATGACCGTAGAAGAGTGGGGGGAGGGGCGGTTAAGGGTCATGTCCTATGAAGTCCCACACACAGAGGTGGGTAGAGTACTGAAAATCTGTACTTAAAGTAAAAGTACTGATATACTTAGATTGTAATTTTCTCAAGTAAAATTATCCCTATTAAGAAACTACAAGGGTAAAAAAAAATTATATATATATATATCTCCGGTCAGAAAACTACTTAAGTACTAGTTACAAATTTAGTTTGGTAATGTTTTACAACTTGAGGTAAATTGTGACAGTAAACAAACATTTTGTTCAATTGATTTGACATTCATTTATTATTTAAGCCTGCCAGCACCATCTTGCAGATGTCCTCCAGCACAGGTAAGCTGTAGATTCAATAATGGTAAGTAGTAAGCTGTAGTTTCAATAATGGTAAGTAGTAAGCTGTAGTTTCAATAATGGTAAGTTTACTTTATCTATGTGCTCAATTTCCTAAAAAGGTCAATGGTACTTGAGACATTGGAATAATTTCACTATCAATTCAAGTACATGTTATGGTGAATGTGTACTAAAAAGATTTACACCAAGTGTGACGTTTAATTTTTTACTAAATGAAATATCAAGAGGATCAGGTAAGTATTACAACAATCAATATCGAAATTTCACTATCGATCATGTTACTAGTATACCAATCTCTGATGTCATGTAGGTTGATACATAGCTATGTTTTCATGTATAAACCCCTTTTACAAAAACTCCCACTGTACCTAACATCATTACTAAACTTTAGACTTAAGAGTTACCACACCTGGTCTCAGGGATGGCTAACTCTGGAGATTCATTTGGTCTCTACTGAGTTAGGTAAATCAGCTTTTAGTTTTCTTGCACCTTATTTCAAATCAAATCAAATCAAATTGTATTGGCCACATGTGCCGAATACAACAGGTGCAGACATTACAGTGAAATGCTTACTTACAGCCCTTAACCAACAGTGCATTTATTTTTCATAAAAAAGTAGAATAAAACAAAAAAGTGTTGAGAAAAAAAGAGCAGAAGTAAAATAAAATAATTATTTGTGGAACAAGCTTCAAAATGTTCTTAAATTTGATGTTTTGGTGCCTCAAGGGCAATTCAGAAAGCTGATTGAGGACCTTATTACTGATGAATGTGTTTGTTTTTTATGACCATGTTTTTCTTTCTAAAAGCATTTTGTATTTGTATGCGTGCATTTTCTGTAATTCAGTAATCTGTAAAAGAGACCTTGGTCTCAGTATGACTCCGCTATAAAATAAAAAATCTGACATTTCAACATGGAATTAAACATCAAGGTAGGTATTCAGGTAACAATCATGTAAGTAAAAATAAAAAACAGTGCAGATAACCATTTCCATTGTCAACTCAATCATCTTTTTCCTGCCAAGGTAGTATTTACCCTCCATCCTCCTCTTCCGAACCTCTCCTTTCCACTTTGAAGGGTATTTAATTTTCTTGGCTGGCCCATTCTCCTCCCCATCGGTTGTGCTACTAGAAGCTGTAAATACAATTACAACTTGTTATTTCTAGTAGTTATATAACACAAACAGCTTACTGAGATGTTTCACTATATGACAGATGTGCGTATAGGCCTTCTCATAAAAACAGAATTACATTTAGACACACACTACACAGAGAGAGCAATGGAGTGGGAGGATTCTGTGCCGGGCTGACCGGTTGATCAGCTAGCTACATGGTTGACACTGCAGCAGGTTTAGCCAGTTGATCTAGTGGCAACCGAATGTGATAGTTAGCTATTACCACACACCTGATTTAATCTGTTCACCCTTTATGCCAATGACAAGGTGGCTAGTTAATTTAGCCAACAAGCAGAGATCATATGGGTAGCTAAAAACAGGAGATTAAACATTCTGTTAAATTGAGATTCTGGGTTAGCCATAGCAAACGAGTAAACTACCTAACCATTTCACTTGACCTCGAAACACAATTTCAACTGCAAAATTATATAAGATAAATATTTATCTTACTCCAGAAATCTATAATATTACAAAGGCAGAAGATAATTGTGCAATTTACCTCCTTTGATCGCGTATGGTTAAGAACCCAGAAACAAAAATCTCTAAGGAATTTCGTAGTGAAGACGTGGGCTTTACTTACTAGCT